TACCCTAAGGACTGCATTACATACTTTAGCCTTTGAGCTAGGGGCCTTTCACCGCATTCCGTACCTGACTTGCTGCCTTGGGGTTGATGAGGTAGTGTGCATGGACCACGTCCCTTATCGATCATGCACCTTACTAGAGCTCCCGAACTCCGTTAACTCCAGTCTTCCATCAACTCTCACAACATGTCTAGCAACCCTAACACTACAGAGTACCGTTCAGATCGCCGCGCATCGATTTCTCCACGATCGAAGTCAATAGAGCGCGCCGAAGACCCTCCTGACGACGAGCTCCACGAGCAACAGCAGCCTGGCGATGCGCCAGAAGACGAGGATGAGGACGACATACCCTACCCCGAGCCTAGTGACGAGCAACCGCTGCTACCACCGCCGAATTTTCGACCCTTCTTCACCCTGATCGAAGACACGACGTCGGGCGAGCACTATCACCCGAATACACACTATGTCTTTGCCGACGACGACCCGACCATCATAACTGCTGCATCGATGCGAGGCCTGGGGCTGGATGATACAAAGTACCTCCCGCATGACGCGCCGGGAGGAGGGGAGAGACGACGCAATCAAGGGAGCGAAGAAGGAGACGAGCAAGACTCACCAGTCGAGTCACCGCTGCCCCCGCCCATACCGGGTGTCAAGGAGCATTACCTCATAATCGATGTCGGTGCAGACGGGCGCACAGTCGTAGATGCGCAGTCGCTTTCGTCAGAGTGGCAAATCACCGATACGGATGTACGGATAGCTCCCTCGTTCGATGAGGACTCGCCGGATCAAGGATACATGCTGCGCATACAAGGCATCGACATACCGAGGAAGAGCAAGGGCAAAGGCAAGGGTGAAGTTGGGCAGGACAGGCTGACCGAGGCGAGGGAACAGCAAGGCGACATCTTCGACGCGTTGGATGGGCTAGTGCGAGATGTTGAAAGAGGACTAGAGACTGCTAGCAAGATCTCAGGCGCGCGGTCAAGAGAGGAAGACCAGGGCACGTTGACTGATATCCGCGAGGGCGACGTAGAGAAGACGGTGGGTGATGACGCATGATGCTGGCGTGCACTGCTGTTTCGCAAGTGGCTTCGGGTCACACTTCTCGTTCATTGTGCATCTGTATGGAGCGCGCGCGCTTCTTTGCTACTACTACTGTGTTGACTCACAGACGGCTTGTAGTTGGTGGCGTGCTTGGCTGCTCAGCTCGAGCATCCATGCCGTAACATCTAACAGTCATACACGCCTCTGGAAAAGCCAGTCATTAACTTCAGGAGCGACATTCGTATGCTGGCTTTGACTCTACGGCGCGATGCCGTCTTTCCTCACCTACTGTATACTTATACCCATCACAGACTGCGAGTTGCATAGTGTGAGCTCCTTTAGCATTCAAGCACGATGTATTATTTCTGCTTCATGCCGCAATGTGATAGACACAGGCTATCTGCTTCAGCACGGTTTCTCTCACTTGGCTCACCGCTCTGTTGTTGCCGGTCGCTCCTTCCTCCCTCCTTCTCTCACTACAAGCGAGGCGGGACGGTATGGGCACGGGCACCCACTATATGATTCAAACCTCTCTGCGTCAAGCTTCCTCATCACTCCCTACCTCCACTTCCTATCATTTCCCTAGCTTTACAGTCAAGTATCAATCATGGCTATCTTACGCACCCTCCTCGTCGCTGCCTCAGTGCTCTGCCTCACCACAGGCTATGAGCTCAAGGCGGAATACAACGCGAGCAACTTCTTCGACGATGGCTCCTTCCGTTTCTACAACGGCTGGGACCAGTTCACCCAAGGCATGGCTCTCTACGTCTCCAAGGAAGAAGCAACTTCACTTGGACTTGCACGCATCGACGACGGCAAGGTACATCTCGGTGTCGATACAACTCAAGTACTCCCTCCGCAAGAGCCCGGTGAAGGCTATGGCCGCAAGAGTGTCCGACTAGAAGGAGTGCAGACGTTCGACAACGGACTCTTCATTGCCGACTTTGAGCACCTGCCTAGTGGGTGTGGCATGTGGCCTGCTTTGTGAGTCTCACTTCCTAACTGTTCATCACCTTCTCGAACTTTCGAGTCGGTACCGACTCCCGCACCCTCTCTTGTGCTCATCATCGTTTGTGTGCCACGTCAGGCATGTACACATGCTAACCATTTGCAGCTGGCTTCTCCACGACACAGGTCATCAAGAGGACTGGTACTCCGAGTTCGACATCATCGAAGGCGTTTCTATGAACTCCCGCAACTCGCTCAGCCTTCATACCGGCCATACGCCATGCAAGATGCGAGACAATGGCGGATCGGGTGAGACGCGCCCAGACCTCGAATGCATGGAACATCGTGACTGCGGCGTCAATGGTCCTGAGAGCTCCTTCGGTCAAGCCTTCAACGACAACCGAGGTGGTATCTGGGCAGCCCAAGTCGAGGACGATGGCATCAAGGCATGGTTCTTTCCTCGGGGTCACGAGCCATCGGGTTGGGATAGCGCCAATCCTGACCCCAACTCATGGGGCACGCCTGTCATGAACTTCGTTGGGGATGGCTGCGATATTCGCAATACGTTCAAGAAGATGAAGATCGTAAGTACACTCAATCTCGTGGATGTGAGTGCCTACTAACATAGGACAGATCATCAACATTACCTTTTGCGGCTCCATGGCTGGAGGCAATGCCTGGTCTGGCTACACAAACTGCGCAGCAGAGACTCACGACGAATCTTGTAATCATTATGTTGCGACCAACCCCGACAAGTTTAACGAAGTGCACTATCTCATCAACTCGGTGAGAGTTTATCAGAACGATGCCGGTGCTGGCTACCAGGATAACAGTCTCTTACCTTCTCTGCCCCGAACGTCCATGACTTCATCCAAAGATGAGCGCCTCTCAGCGATGACTGCAGAGCAATCTCCCCTTCCAGCTGTCACGACTACCATCATCACCACTACGAAGATCATAACTTTGCCAGCGACGTTGACTCACGGATCTGGCTATGTCCCGTACAGTTCTTCGGTATCCGCCACAGCTCCAACAACTTTCGAGGTTCTCTACGGCGCAGCGCCCACGGTAGTTACCGTAACAACGGTCATTACGTCAACGAAGGTTATGACACTGCCTGCCACTTTAACTGGCGGTAATAACATGACTCCCTATGACCCTTCAGCATCCTCCACGACTCTCATCACCTTCCACAACAAACGTCTCTTGTTGACGGCTTCCGAGGCGGCTCCAGCATTGGAAGCATCATCGGCGACATTTACCAAGCCCGTGGGCACACACACTGGCGGCAAATACTACAGCGGTTATGATCCGTCAGCGACATCTACATCTGCCAAGCCTACAGGTACAAGAATCGGAGGCATTACCAACTACACCACTGTACAGACTCCTCGGGCGTCATCTACGAAGCCTATAGGCACAACGATGGACGGTGTTACTAACTACACCACCGTCACTGCTTCGGCTGTGGCTTAAGTTGTGTCCATCGGCACAAATCGAGCACGCGGCTGATCTCTTAGCTCGTTGGTTGAACAAGAGTGGTTCAATCTCAATCATGCATATTATGGCGTTATGGAAGAACATCTGAGGCGGGAGAGAATGTACGGATAGATGAGCAAAGGCGGGATATCAGAGGTTCAGCGATTTCATTTCAAAATACAATGCCAGATAGGCGCGGATATACACATGCGAATATATATCATCTTTCCTCACCTCTTCTCTCGCATCCCCCTCCATCCCCCTCCACCTCCCTCGCCGGATTCCCACCGCCATCCTACCAAGGAATGGTCACCCCGAAACGATCAACTAACCTCCCACTCTCCCACCCTTCTTTATCCATCTTGTCCAAAACCCTCATACAGTCCCTCACACTCTCCTGTACCGAAATCGCCCCTTCCTCCTTCCACTCCACCAACCCCGTCTCCACTCGTCCCGGGTGCAACATCAAGAATTGCACATCGGGTAAATCTATAGCGAGACTCTTCACTACCGCGTTCAACGCCGCCTTACTAGCCCGGTACGCGTATCCGCCACCCGCTGTGTTGGCAGATATGGAACCCATGCGGGAAGATAGGATGAGGACTTTTGGTTTTCCTGTGACTTTAGCGTCTTCATCGACTTCAGCGGCGAAGCATCGAAGGAGTGGCAAGAACGCTTTAACAACGTTGAGCGTGCCACAGGTATTTATTTCAAAGGTCCGCATCATAGTCGTATGGTCCATATTTTCCAGTGTCTCTGCTTCGGCGACGACTTTACTACTCTGTTTTTCTCGTGCGACGACCGCAGGAACGAGACCTCTGACGCCGGCGCAGTGGATAATGAGTTCAATGGGGGTGCTGTAATGCTTTTGAACCCATGTTTGAATATCTTGAAGAGAGGTTATGTCGGCTTGGTGGAAGATGATGAGGTTTCCAGGTTCGCGAGGGTAATCTTGAGGTGCTACTGGGAATGGTTTGTTGTCTATAGCTATGACGAAGTGTCCCCATTCGGTCGACTTCTGCATGTAGTGATCGATGAAAGCGAGCCCGAGGCCGGAGGATGCGCCTGTTATCAGGATGTATGGTGCTCGCATTTTGGGATGTGGTGTTGAGGTTTAGTGCGTTGGTGTGTTGGAAGTTGAGTTGTGTCGGCGTCAACTGTGGAAATTTTAGTAGGTACACAGTCGATGTAGTACGGATCACACCTGAATGTGGCAATTTTGTTGAAGGATACTATACTGCGATAAGTCATGGCGTCGGACGTAGTGGGGGTCAAGCGCCTCAGGGTCCATCCCGCCTATGTTTGCCGATCTGGAGGTGAGGATGGTTCCCCGCAGTCTACCCGTTGACGACAGACGGGTAATGACCAGCATGACTGATTCGGCATCGGACAAGGATTTAACGCGGTATCTGGATCTGGATATTCTTGAGTGACACATTTTACCTCTATTTATTTACCATTCCGAAAATTCCGACGATAAAATAACCCATCACACTCACAGCTACTCCACTGCCATCATCAAACAGCGCACTATGTTCTATCAACCTGGGAAAGAAGACCATGGCCTGCCGTACGATCCATTCAAAGTAAGTCTACTATCCAAGCAATCGAGACAATCTGATAAAATTCAAAAACAAGTCTCATGCACCACCTAACCACCCCGCAGGCATGCGTCCTCCCCCGCCCCATAGGCTGGATATCCACCCTCTCCCCTACGGGCCACGCAAACCTAGCCCCCTACTCTCAATTCAACAACCTCACCTTCGACCCCCCCTACGTCATGTTCAGCGCAAACCAAACACCAACCAACAGCCAGAAAGACACCGTCCGCAATGTCGAAGCTACGGGGAAATTCGTTTGGAATCTGGCGACGTATGAACTGAGAGAAGAGGTGAATAGGAGTGCGGTGCAGGAGGAGTACGGCGTTGATGAGTTCGAAACGGCGGGCGTGGAGAAGGAGGATAGTAGGGTTAGCGGAGTGGTTGTTGGTCATGGTGGAGCTGAGGGGAAAGAGGGGAGAAGAGAGATGATGATACCGATGGTGAAGCGCAGTCCAGTCAAGTTCGAGTGCGAGTACTACACAACCTTGCGCCTTCCCGGTAATCCACCGATGGGCTCGGCAGATGTTGTGATTGGAAAAGTGGTTGGTGTGCACATCGATGAGCGCGTTTTGACGGACGGTAAGATCGATGTGAGGAAGACAGAGCCGATCGCTAGGTGTGGGTACTATGAGTATGCGGTTGTGAGGGAGACATTCGAGATGCGGATACCGGGAGAGGATAAGGCGATTTTGGCAGGGTTGGAGGGGAGTGCGAAGAAGAATGAGAGATTGGATCGGGTGGGGGATGTGGATGGAGGGATGGGCATAGAAGGAAAGCGTCTTTGAAGATGTTTTGTTATTGCTGCAGGGAGATTACTCTCGCGTAGACGGGTTCCGGTCTTTGGATGTATCTATCTTATTTTGGTATCGTACAAGTAGTCTCCAAACGCCGAAGGTAAACTGGTGTATGAGCTTTTGGGGTAGGCAAAGGTATCTATGCATTCGAGATATAAGGCCAAAACAACAACAAACAGCTGCCATCTACCAATTGACCGCAAAGGTCAATGATTGAGTTGTTGTCAACGCGACCCACTGATTGAATCACGTTGACAACTACTCAATCTTTGACTTAGGCGGTCAATTGGTGTATAGAAACAGTGAGATTATGCCACCAAAGAAGCCATTTAAGCGACTAGCTGTCCCGCAAATCTGCAATGAAACGTAGACAAACGGAAAATGGAAGTGAATGAAAGAACGCGATATAGCCACTGCGCTCGTCAGGGCTGTCATGATCGCGACATCCGATATGACTTTCGTGCCAGCGGAGATTGCGATAACTGCGACATCTGAGATGACTATAGCGCCGTAGATGCTTGCGATGACTGCAATAACTGCGGCGTCTGCGATGCCGAGTATGGGGAATTCTGGGCGGAATGCGGACGACTTTTGAGAGAAGGGAATCGAGTTAATGACACGCACCAGAGTAACGTGATGTTGAAGTGACGCTGCTGCTGAGGATTACAACCACTCCTGCGATGACTCCGATGATTGGGAGGAAGGAGGTGCTTGCTCCGGCTCGGGCTCTTGCGATAACGGAGGAGTTACCAACGCCAGGTAGTCCTGTAGTGCCATCAACGACGTCGATGACTCGGAGGTTTGCGGCGCTTGCGGCGTTGGCGAAGATTGGAGCAACTGCGATGACGAAGACATCGGCGAAGACTGGACCATCTCCAAGGACTGAGGCGCCGCTTGCGACGCTTGCGGTCTTTGACCTGCATACCGCGGCGAAGTCGGGTCAAGGTAGGTATCGAAGAACTCTCTGACTGTTGGGTCGGCACGAAGTGTTGTATTTTCCGGAAGCGCCACAACGTTGAGCCCGTGGAGCGAGCGTGCTCTACTGACTGGTCGGGGAGTTAACTTGTGTCCCGCAACAAAACATGCAGTATAACTTACGAGCAACGTAGATCTGGCTTGCCTCAAAGGCCTTCGAGAGATTGACAGTAACGCGATCTAACGTCATGCCTTGGGACTTGTGCACTGTGATGGCATAACCTGCCAAGAGTGGGAGTTGCGTCCTTGATAGGCGGTTCGTTATCTTGACTTTCCCACCCTCTTTATAGGTTATGACCTCGGTGACAGCGCAGTCTGGGTAGATCGTCCTTACTTCCTTATTGTCGAATGTGACAATTGGCCATGGTTTGGGCGTATTCTTCTTGGCGAAGGATACGAGCTGAGATTGTACATAAGAACCATGACGGCCTTCTTTGCATGGCAGCTTGCTGCGGTCGTATGACTCAAAACCGGTAACAGAACCTTGGCAACCGTTCACCAGACCCTTCGCGGGGTCAATATTGGCCACCAACATTACACGCATACTTCCTTTGATAAGCACACATGGATCGTAGCGGCACCCATCCTGTCGGGATTGTTAGTGAGACCCGGAAAGACAACAGAAGTAACATACCAAGCGTTTTAAACAGCCGAGGTTGGCAGGATGCTTTGTGCTTGCCTCTTTGTAGTCCACCAAAGATTCGTCATCACGGTCGTTTTGTTGAAAATGATCCAAGCACTTGTATTCAAGCGCTGTCCGTTCAGTAATGTCCTCGATAGCTTTATCGTTAACTTCTTTCACTTTCTTACGTGTCGAGTGTAGTTGAACAGCGTCTTTTGTCTCATTCGGATGATGGAGTAGAAGCTGTCCGTGAGGCGCAAGAATTTGACCATCTGATACGCGTCAGTTTGCTGCCCCCAGGCATAAAAATAGTGTCGAAGCAGCATTTCGACGATGAGAAAATATTACCTCTGCGTATCTTTTGAAGAATAGCAACAAATTTCCTGTCGCTTTGTCGGTGAATCTTGGTAAGATTGATATGTGTGAAGTTGCAATTCTGTCTGCGTTAGTGCATTTCTACAATAGGAGTAAAGAACAGAAGGGACGTCTAACATACCTGCCATACTTCACTGCAGAAAGCCCACTTATCAGCCATTCGCCAGGGGCCGTAGCCACATCCCTTGGTCTCACAGGAAATTTCACACTCCAGCGGGTCCTTTTCGTCCTTGGATTTAAGCTTTGTGCCACATCCCATGCAATGCTTGAAAGGTTCAACGGGTGCAAGTTGACAAAACTGGGATGATTAGCGTGGATGTGACGTATTTTATGGTGCGACTCACATCTCCGGTAACCACGACCTGAACACCACCAAATGGTAGATCGGAGTTATGTCTTGGAGATCTGCTAGCTTTCATAATCTCGCTCAATCGCTCGAGATCAGAGTTCGGAACCATGCTTATCTCATCGATGACGAGCACGTCGACGTCGTTGAGTTTTTTCCATTGTTTCTTCCCGCGAGCAGCTTTTTTTAGGTCGTCCAACTTCTTCCCGGAGCTGTTTATGTTCCATGCTGCAAAATTGTGAATTGTTTGGCCACCCACGTTGTACGCAGCGAGATTGCTTGGCGCTATAATTTGCACCTTCCATCCTTGCTCTCTGAGCATTGGGACAAAGGTCTTGAGGATGGCTGATTTACCAGTCCCTGCAGGACCAGTGTAGAACACATTTTCCCCCTCTTGGATCTTTTGCACCACAGCTTTTTGTTCGGGTTCCAGTTTGATATTGGTTCCGGGGACGTAGTAGTCTGCGAGGATGTTGGGTGTTGGGCGCGGTGCTAAGCGCGCAACATCTCGCTCGTACAATGCTGTTGCTTCCTTGAGCCTTTCTTGTTTCCTCTGATCGCGGAGCCGTTCCGCTTCTTCAATGGCGGATCTGTTGGCGTTCATGAACGCCAATGCCTCTTCTGCTGTGAAGAAGTCTCCGCGTAAGTATTTATATATGTCGTTACCTTTCTGCTGGAAAGCGTCTTGGAATTTTCTGTAAATGCCAGGGAACTTCCCGAACGCAACTGCGTGATATTTGCTGTTTGGTGCAGATGGATCGGGCTCCTGAACGTACAGGCCGGCCTTGCGCAGATCTTGCAGCGATGTAAATCGTTCTAATTCTTCGGTCTGCGGAGTCTTTCTTGTCTGCTCTGGGGTTGCCTCTGGGGTTGCTGGGTATGCGACGTTGTTGTGCTGGGTTCCGTGCTGGCGGCCGGCATTGCTTCGAGACTGGCTCTGCGTCGCAAGCGGGGTTCTGGGGCTCCTGGAAGATATATCCTGTCGTGGGCGCTTTGGGGAAGCGTCGAATTGGTAGCCGTCTGGCTTTCTTTTCCTGTCGTTTGTCCCTGGCGGCGTAGCCATGGGTGGGATGTTCTCTTGGTCTGCCATTGGCGGTGGTGAACTATTCGTATTGTATGATGTAGGATGAAAGTCGAAGGAAGGAGCGCAACGTAAGGGAGTGTATGGTGAGGATTGCGGTGGGTGTGTCGTAGGAACGGTAGCGAGAGGGGCATCATCCGGATACCGGTTCGGTACGTGACCATCTGTTCATGCGGTAAGTTTCAAAGCTCATACTCGAACCACTACGGAGGGGGAGGGGAACCACGTACCGGACATGACGTAGCAGTCGACTGGATTGTATGCGGCGTGGTGGTAAGAATGATCGTATGCGCCGTTGCGCCGGCTCACGGTAAGGGACAGCTCATTGAAGAGACTCAAAAAGAACAAAGGCGACCAGAATAATGATATGTCCAAGATAGTGATAGCCAATAGCGAAGGGTGTGATGGAGGTAGCTGTGGTGCGGGGTGCAGCGCGATGAGAGCGAATGGTCGCTCTCGAGCCGAGTTCGACGCGCCAAATCGCGCCCGGCGAGGCTGGTCATCGCGCTAACCCCCATTAGTATAGCTCCCGTCGCAACCAGTCTGGCAACATGCGGGGTGCATATGCATACTTCTTCTGGGCTTTGCGCTCGAGCTTCAAATACTGTCGCAACTCCGGGTTAGTACGTCGATAACGGTCGTTTGTCAGGATGTTATTACAATAGTTGTCTTGCAATACTTTGAAAGCGTAGAAAGAGGCCTCATAATAGTGAGAAGACCAAAATTGATGATTGATTGAGCTTCTCGATGATCGAGGCATTGTATAGCTTCTATACGAAAAAGAACGCGCATTTGGCAGACTCTCGCCCTCCTGCGATGGCAGTGTTGATGGCTTCATTGGTTTCATAGCTAGTGCGAGTCGCAAAGTCTCCAGCGCTGCCACAGCGTAAACATATCTCTGCAACTGGTAATCCTACTCCTCCCCAGCACTCAAAGCCGCCTCAGAAACCCCCCGACTACTACTCTGCCCCGTCCTCGCCCTCTTAACCTTCCCAGCCTTCGCCCTCCCATTGCCCAACCATCCCTGCTTTGCTGTAATAGGCCGTAAGAACCCATCAATATGCACACCACCAACCGTCCGTTCTTCATTGTCCGAGTCATTAGTTCTAGGGTCGTAGCCATGAACTCGCATGCAATGCTCGACGACGCGGTAGGCCAACGGGGCGTCTTCCTCGTGCCTCCAGCAATCTGCGTGCGGGCAGCGCAGTGTGCCAATCTGGAAGAAGGGCCGTTTGGGTGGCGGAGGCTGTGAGATCGAGGGGATGGTTGGAGGTGGTATGGTTGATGGGGTGTATGACACGGGTTCGGGAGGACCTTTTGATGCGAGGGCTTCGTGGAAGGGCATGAAAGACATGCCCTCGCCGAATAGAGTTGCGCAGCGCTGGGCAGTGCGTGCGACAGCTCCTTCGTTCCAGCCTTGTACAGCTGCTAGGCCGAGCACTTCGCTCCAATCCAAGAGCCCTTCTCTTAGTTTGCCTTCGTCTCCTGAACTATCGCTATCGCCCATACTGCTTGAGGATCTGCGGCGCTTCCGTTCGCGAGGGATTTTGTTGGACTTTTCCCAGTCAGATCCTCCGCTTGATATGTCATCGTCATCCGCGGGCTTGCTTTTATCTGTTGCCTTTCTGGCGGCTTTTGTCTTTTGTCGTACCGTGCGGTCGGCCTCCGTAGACGTTGCGCGCGAAGGTGGTCGAGTGCTAGATCTGCGGCTTGTCGCACTCTTCGATCGGGCTCTCGATGTAGACCTCGATCTTGGACCGCTCGACTCTGCACCTGACGTGTATTCGCTCATGGAAGAATCGCCTGGCTCTCCACGACCAAAGTGATTGACGCGCGTTCGGCGGATGGCCAGGGCAAGCTCGTCTAGCTTCCCCATCATGTTCTGTATTGTCGGCTGGAGAAGTCGCTGTGCCCTTGCGTCGTCTGCTAACAAAGTCGGCTCCACGAGTCTCTCGGTGCGAGGTTTTCTGCCACGTTTCTTCCCAGTCGTCTGATCACGTTCGGTATCATTGCCGTCCTCGACATCGTCCGTCGTGGTTTGTACCCTGGGCTTGTTGTTTGGTTTTGCAGTATCGGCGCTTTGTGATCGAGATCTGCTTCGCGAAGCTGATATGTGGTCTCCAGCGTCGGAGTCAGACGAGGGCGTTTCGCGTGAGTTCCACTTCTCTTTGGCCAGCCGCAAGAAAACAGCTAGGAGTTCCTCTCGCAGCTCATCTCCTGCATCTCCGGCGTTCGCACTCCCAATAGTCCATTCGTCCACATGGTAGCTTGGAGGCTCTTCGTCTGGAGGGATTGGCCATGCGGTCCACTCTTTGGAAGGCACGACCGCCGTCTGGGTAAATCCTGCCGCATCCACGTATTCAAGGTCCTCTCCAGTCTTGAGCCAGTTATCCCTACTCTGCCAGTTGTGGAGCTTCGCGTTGTCTTCTGGGGGCCGTCGTAACCGCCGCTTGAGCGCATGCGCGTTATACAGATGTACTGCAAGATCTGTCTCTTGCAGCTGATCGAGGGAGTCGGCTATCTGGCGATCCGCTTCTGTGTAGCTCTGCCATGTTTGGGGCGGTCCGTCGAAGCGATTCGGGCGCGCCGGTACCTCCTCGTCGTCGTCCTCTTCTTCAGACTCGTCGTGTGCCGACTCGCTATCGGTATCCAGGTCATCGTTTACGTCTAAAGAAATCGGGATAGCGGGAGTCTGTGCTTCTTGCACGTTACGCGGGTCCGGGATCTCCTCGACTGACGGCGACGAGCGCGCCGATGAAGACGATGAGGTTGTGGATTCGTAGGAGGAGGGCGGTGGCGGAGCGCTACCACCAAATAACGACATCTTCGTTGCAGTATATGTCGAAGCGGGCTTGCGGTTGTCTTGGCGTCGACATCTGCGTAATGCGATCCAGCAGTTGTGGGAGTGTAGAGGCGCGCTCAAATTTTGGTGGGGTTCTCGAAAATGACGCGCCGTCACGTTGCCGCTACCATCATCCTTGGTTCACAATCTGCGACCCATCTGGGCAGCATCATACCACCAATCTCGCATCTAAAGCCATCTTGCTAGTTCCCCATTGGTTTCTGATGTTTTCATCTACATGTTGAAATTGCTTCAGGCGGTCGCTGCAATGACATCTTAGTGCCGGCATTTGTTAGGTCTTACACCCTCGAACATGGAAAGCAGGATCTAGGCACACTCGGATGACTACAGAGAGCGACCGTGAAGCGATCGTCATCTTACACGACGTCTCGGTAGCTTGGCTTTATCTTCGCGGTGTGATGTACCGGCGCATTACACTTGTGATCTGTTCACGCACGTGCCGTCGCTGGCAACTGCCCAGGTAGGCGTCAGCGAGGCTACCTTATTAACCCTCTTTTTTGCCGTAGCCTCCAACGACCCATCAACACCACGAATCCACTTTCACAGCCACTTTTGGCTTGGCCACGCGTTAGGTGCGTCCCAAAATGAGGTTTGGGCGTCCTACTTTCAGGAGACCATCAGTCGGCATACATGAAGCTTTGCGCTTACGTATCAGAACAAGCTTTGTTCTGCAGCAAATCATCATTGGTGGGTGCTAACCAGGAAATTCATCAATGCTCTATATCGGATCTCTGCGGAGGCTTCATGAATCACGGGACAGGAGCCTTCGCAGAAAGCCAATTGCGCACGAAACATCGAGAACGAACGCTCTCACAGACATAGTGTAAGCAAAAGAGGTGCCGACTGCCGCATGGCTGCACGAAGACTGAAGTGTACCTCTCTGTTCCCTCACCAATCGTCGATGCTCCAAGGATTTCAAGGGGAACCCAGGTAATGCCGAGAGCCTCAACGGCCCATGAACACGTCCTAAGCGCGGACGAACGCCCCGAACACGGCGCTTTGAGCGTGGTCAGCGTCAGCCTTAACATCAGTACAGTATCTCCACCAGCAGTGAGCTAGCGGCGAAATTTATCATGGTGTCGACTCCGATCCGGGGAAGTGGTCCTGAGCCAACACCACATGGTGATCAACGGCGTGGCAGGATGCCCAAGCTGGCGCACCGATACTAAGGAATATCACCACAAACCGTGAGCGTCATACAGGCTTCCGGGTAACGCCATGTAGCCGTTGAATGCCTCGTCTTCTCCAACATCAAACCCACATGATTATGGGACAAACCGACGACTAGTAGACTATACGAAGTTCTAGTACTCCTTTGTTGTGCTTCAAATTGCAGTAGCTCTACAGCGCCCATCAGCACTACAGCACACACCCTGGACTGTTCCCCTTGTAAACGGACTCTTGATGCCCCATTCAAAGCTAGTAGCGATGCTTGTCGTCGATTCTTCCGAATGCGCGGTCCTACTTTGATTACACCTCGATCCACACAGTAGGACCGAACTGGAAGAGCCACCGCACATACGTCGGCCATGCTTGTGGCAATATAAATACAATAGGTCTGGTATGCTAGACGATCACCAACCTCAGTCGCTCTTTCAGCTTTCATATTCTCTTGCAAGACTAATTCAATCATGCGTTCATTCGTTTCAATCACCGCCGCGGCGGTGGTCGCCCTTCCTTTCGCTATGGCAGCGCCCAGGTCGTCCAAGATGGAGGCTAGGTACTACAACCCGGAGCAAGTTATTGACACTGATGTTGTCATCATCGGAGGTGGAGGTATGGGTGCTTACTCTGCCATCCAACTCAAGGACATGGGAAAGAGGGTCGTGGTTGTCGAGAGCTCGCACCGCCTTGGAGGTCACACCGAAACCTACATGGACCTCGAGACTGGATTCCCCATCGACATGGGAGTGAAGCTGTACCATGACGAACCTTTGGTGCACCAGTGGTTCGCACGCTTCAACCTCACTCTAGGCCCAGCAAGCCCGTTCCCTACCGGCCCAACCCAGCAGGTTGACTTCAGGACTGGTCAGGTGTTGCAGGGCCTCCCTCCTGCCAACCAAACCGCCTTGGCTGTTGCTCTCGCGAAGTACGGCGCCGTCATCGCACAGTGGCCTGAACTTGAGGGTGGCTTCTACCTCCCCGACCCCGTTCCCGAGGACCTCTACATGCCGTTCGGCCAGTTCGTTCAGAAGTACGACATCGCAGATGCAGTGCAAACCATCTTCGGTCTCACCTCCGCCTTTGGTGACATCCTCGAGCTTCCTGCCATCCAGCAGATCCGCACCATGTCTCTCGGTCTCCTGAAGACCATGCAGAGCTTCAAGACCAGCTCGGTGATGAACAACAGCATGCTCTTCGAGGCACTCACTGCCGAGCTACTTGCCTCCAACTCTGTCCTTCTATCCTCCAGGGTCCGAAAGACCGCGCGCGTGAGCAAGGTCGATGGCGGCGTCAAGGTCCTCGTCGATACCCCCAAGGGCCAGCGTCTCATCCAGGCCAAGAAGATCCTCATGGCCATCCCCCCTACGCCCGAGAATCTCACTCCATTCGACCCCAGCGGTGATGAGATGAAGATCTTCAGCCAATTCACTTCTGTCGGCTACTACACCGCCATCATCAGGCACGCCGCCCCTACCAACGTCACCCTCAACAACCTCGCACTTGAAAAGCCATACGCGCTGCCACCCATGCCCGCCATCTACAACGTCTTCCCCACCGTCAACCCTACACTCAACCAGGTCTTCTACGGCACCAAGGTCGGCCAGCACCTCAGCGACGAGGAGGCCCAGGCCGCCATCCTTGCGGACCTCAAGCGCTTCCACGCTATGAACAACATGACCGGCCCCGAGCCCGAAATCGTCGCCTTCAGCAACCACAGCCCCTACAACATGATGGTCGGAGGCGAGGCCACCAAGAACGGCTTCTACAAGGACTTGTATGCTCTGCAGAGCAAGCGCAACACTTTCTGGACGGGTGCTGCGTGGAGGGCGCATGATAGCTCCAGCAGCTGGGCTTACACTAGCAGGAGTGTGCTGCCGGCGCTTGTTGCTAGCTTGTAGGTTTGCAAGCGGTGGTGGTGGATCATTTGGGTTAATTGATAATGGAGCGGTTGCTCCCTTGGACGGTCAATGGCGATGTTTTCCTTGCATGCTGCTTTACGATACCTTCGATACTTGTATTAGTAGATGACAATAATCAAACGCCATTGTCCGCACTCATCGAACATTTTGCTAGTCTTGATGATAGCCTTGTTAAACCTATGAAGACTAAACATACTTTCGTGCCTCCGCGTTGACCTAGGGAAAACCTAGACACCATGGACCTCGGGAGCCTACAACGACGTTAGCTTACCTACTTTACACATTTTTGTCTTCATGTAGTCTGCAGACCTGTTCATTTTTGCTCTTGTACGAGGCGCCTCAGTGTCGTTCGTGAGCGTTGGCTAGCTCACTTCTCAACCTTGGTTCGCAGCAAACATGCAAATTTATTAAATTTCCATTATATACTGCCGCTTAAGTCTACATAGATGAGAGATTGTAAGAATTGCACATGCGCTCATGCTCTAACCTTTACATACTTCCTTAACACATCTCACCGTCTTGAAACTCCTGCACTCTACGATGCAACGTATGCGACCTGCTAAACGTGTTCGACTTGAAGGCGCACATACTCTCTCGACGCCCGTCCGCTTCCTCATATTCTCGGATACGCATGGCGCTGAACTTCCGGGGAACCTCCCGCCATGCGATGTTCTCCTACACTGTGGCGATCTGACAGAAGATGGCACCCCGGAAAGCATCTCTGCGGCCCTCCAGACGTTGGGCAAAGTCGAAGCCAAGCTGAAGCTTGTTATCGCTGGCAATCACGACATCTCGCTCGACAAACCATACTGGGTCTCCCAGGGCGGAACTGAGACCGATGCAGGACGAGCAGAGGCGCTTGTGAGCTCAGATGCAGGCTCCGAAGCAAGTAGAAACGGCATCACCTTCCTGAAAGAAGGCACGCATACCTTCAAGCTAGCATGCGGTGCTACATTCAAGATATATGCCTCACCATACACGCCCCTCTACGGCGCATCGGCATTCCAGTACCCATCGAACGAAGACCGCTTCAATCCCTCGGGCACTCCACCGTGGGCGAAGAACGTCGGTACCGAGACCTCGACCATCCCCAACGACGTCGACATCGTCATGACCCACGGCCCCCCAAAATACATCCTAGACACGACCTCTGACGACCAAAGTGCAGGTTGCGAGCACCTACGCCGCGCCATCGCTCGCGTGCAACCACGACTGCATTGCTTCGGCCACATCCACACGCCGCGTCGCTGGTTCTACCAAGCACACGTGCTGGACTTCACCGGCAGAGGAGAAGCAGAACTAGATGCAGGTAACGACACTAGAACAATAACCAAAGTCTGGATAGGCGAGAACTCAGCACGAAGAAAGGGGTTCAAAAGCCTGCCACCAGGCCCCGCTCAAAAGTTCCGAGACAACAAACAGCAGACGCTCTGCGTCAACGCGGCGATGGAAGGCACTGAGCCCGGCGTTCTCGAACACCCGCCCTGGCTCGTTGAGTTAGATTTGCCCGTACAGAGAGACATGCGAATGGGAGATGCCGTCGGTGAGGAAAGGCATCTCACGTAAGCGCATGCGAAAATGGAGTCGCGTGTTGAGTTCGGTGATGAGGGGAGTGGCGCTGCAGCTCGGCGTCCGCGGGCCCCGGTAAGGCGGGCAGCTGCCGTAATCTCCAGGGCTGCATCTCGCGGTCGGTGGTAGGGAACTCCGAGTAGTTAGCTTTGCGACAGCATCGCGCAGGGAGTTTTCCAAGGTCCACAGCTTATCGGCGTAGCGCAATGGATTGAATTATTAGGTAGGACGCCGTGGACGCCGTATAGGAATATGAGGCGTACATATGTAGAAGTTCCGCTGCTTGTGCCTCAGGCTCCAGTACACATCCCTTCAGCGAACTCGCAACGGCACTGCTTCCATAGCCACCTGCATCCATACCTACTAGCAACAAATCACCATGACAGTCTCTTCATCACTCACACTCTACCGTCCAGGGCCATCAACCTCCCTAACAACACGCTCATTTTCCAGCTCCCTCATCTCCTCCCACCTCTTCACCCAACAGACCGGCACAGCAATCCTAACCGAACTTGCCTACCGCATCCTCATCGACATCATAAACCGCTTCATACACTCCTTCCAGCGCCTCGCCTCCCATGGCCTCGACTCCGCATCCTCCTTCATAGAGCGCAAATTGCAGGAACGTCGTGATCGGCTAGATGCTGCTACGTCCGGTACTGGGAAGGAGGGTCTGAAGATCGTTGAAGAGGTGGGCAGGCTGGCGGAAGAGAGGGGCTTTGTTACTTGTCCGTTGACGGGGACGGACATGGGTAGAGAGGAGGGGGCGAGGGGGCCGCCGAGGTGGGTGAGGGGTGTTTTGGATGGGATTGATGAGGGGAGGATGAAGGAGAGGGATTTTTGGATTCATACGCATACGGGTTGATGTCGGGACTTCGATACGCTTCATGATTCCTGGGAGTATAGAGCTACCCGACGATGCTCCGATGGCTCAGCAACATGCCGCTTCAGCTCGGGGAGCGACAGCTTGCGCAGCAACCGCAGCGTATGCAGCAAGCTCCAGAAGTACAGCAACATGAGAAACCGCAACCGCCACGCATGCCGCAAACTCCAGAAGGGCAAAAAGTTCAACAGTCGCAGACGCTACATATTCAGCAAATACAGCCGGCGCCTCAGCTAAGTCGCCGAAACGAATCGCACCGCTGCCGACGAGCAAGCTCTGCTCCACACCATACGTCGCCTTGACCCGCCTCTACCTAGGTATCTGCCCTTCAATGTGCTATTATATGGACGCAACTCCGCTTCTCTATAGCGACCGCACTCTCCGTGCCCGCGCTTCGCCTTATCCCGATATTCGGCGATGAAGGCGCAACTTTATCTCTCAGGCCATGGGACAGCATACCGACACATGAGAGTGTCGAACCACGAAGCTTCCTTTAACTCTAGGGCGGCGCTCTGAAGTATACAGGCTCTGTCTAGCAGCTTCTAACTGACCGCCGGTGCCGGTCAGACGCTCAGGTTCTGGTATAAGGACAGCGTAGGCCACAAGATTCTATATGCTCGCTGTCAACACATTTAATGTCTATGGCGCTCAGCTCCTCCCACAATGTTTTACCGCTACCAATATCACATATGTCTCAATTGCATCCGTATTCCTACGCTATCCTCATTGCCTGCTTGTCCTCCTAGATGTGACACATGGTGTCTTCCTGCCGCGCAGGCCCAAAAGCGTCTGGCCGATGTCTCATCTCGTATGCTCGCCCTCCGTCTGCCGAACCAAGTCCGCATCACTACAGCTGTCTGTGTCGTATGTGAGGTGAAACTAGGCGCCGCGTTCGTATGTTGCACGAAACAGCTTCGACGACATGCTCTTGGTCGGCGCGAGTGAGTAGCAGCTATGCAGCGCTGGATTGGGATTTGACTCATCGAAAAAGACTGATACTTGCGCTTCTAGCGACTGGTCAGGGCGCTCAACCTTGTCGCTGCTCATTCTCGACTCGTATCGTGGATACGTACTAATCTCGTCCGCCCCAGGTGAGTACCGGCGTCGCGGACGCAATCAGTCGAATTCCTGGGCCATGAGTATAGCGGCATTGATCTTGCACATTCAAAGAGTGTTTGGCTCGCCGTCTCGGGCGTGTGCCGTCAGTCTGGCCTTGCTGTCGTCATTGTAAACTCACCCATCGAAGTCGGCAAGCTCAGCTCCTACTAAGCAATTTCAACAACTTCGCTGAGCTTCGTCCAAGGCGCTCATGGCTCACATAACATAGCGAGAAGCATCTAAGAAGCATTCCCCGAGCGAATGCCACAGCTTTGGCTCTCGAAAGCTCGCCACGTACTTTCACGATTGCTATATCAATGGGCTAGCCTTGATACGCCTTGCGCACTGAGCACGCTGTCTTGAAAATTTGTTACAAGAACAGCGCATAATCATATTTTAATCTCGAGTTTCGATGTTCTCGCGTATCTTCACGTTCGCTCAGTCAGTCAATGCCTGCGTACTATCGCACTGCCCGTCGAGCACACCCTCACTGGCTTCATACATGTCTGCAAACACATCACATCTCTCAGTCTCTGCTTGAACTGCTGGAATTTCGTGTTCTCTTACCTGATGAGGCCGCACGGGCCATCCCACCTCGCGTATTTTGACTTGGTGGTTTCTCACTCTCACCTGGCAACGCCCGCGCGGCCCTCCACCGCCGACGAAGCCCTTCTATACCCGCCTTCACCTGGTGTTTCCGACCTTCCTGTCGCCGGCAGAACACCGGCCGGAGCAACAGCGCCGGCTCCTAGCGCCTGCCCGTGCGCAGACTCTTGGCAGGCACATATAAAGCCCATTTCCCCCCTCCGACCTACACTCTTTTACCACAAACCCCACAATCTTTTACCCCAACTCGAAGAATTCCAACTACCTGTCACTCATTTCTTCAACAAACTTCCTTCCTTCACTCACTTCGACCATGGCTCAACACTTCATCATTACTTTGGATCACTTCCACTTTGTCACATGACATCATACCTTCACTCATATGTCGACCACTTCCAACCTTACTGAGCTTCACTCTTCTTCAATCAACATCACTGCTCAACAACCTTCACACCTTACTTGGTCATCAACACTTCATCCAACCTTGGTCCAACATCACATCTATGGATGATCAACCTTCCTTCACCATGAGCCATGGTCACTCTTCCAACATCCACCTTCGCCATTGAACATGGTAAGTATCTTGCTGGCTTCTTCTTTATTCAGTCTTCTAACATTTTTCAGCTTGCTGTCGCCTTCTACCACACTCACTTCGCTTCGGATCGCTCCAACCTTCGCTCACATCGTCGCCAACCTCCTCAAAGCCCTACACTCTAGGCCACGATCGAGCTCTTCAGCATCCACCTCAAGCCCTCTTCAGGCCAGCATCGCATGTTCACAACACCCCGGGTCGCACGAAAGTCAAGTTGTTTGGATGGATTGGATACTTTGGTGAAGGAAACATACTGGTGGGAAGTGCAGGATACCATGGTCAAAGACAGTAAGAGACGGACATTACAGATCTCGATGGGATCTCGCTTTGAGCCTACAAGGCTTGCTTCGGCAAGGCCCCATGGCTGGTGGACATGATCTGGAGGAGACTTCATTCTCACATCAAGGTGCTGGAGGACAGACAGTCTATGGTGCTTCGGTACTAAGCTGGGCCTACCTTGGAGATTTGAAGTTCTTCGCCAGTTTGAGCTTGCTCGCCCAGATCATTCCCCTGCACACTTCTTGATGGCGGCTCTTAGGAGTTTGGATCAATTCGAGAAATGCAGCATGCGAAAGGTATGAGAGACTTGAGGTGAGAGTGCCTGCAGTCGGTGGTCGATGTTTGGATTGGGTTTTAGATTAGCGTTGAGGTTTTGGACATTGGTTTGCTGATGGCTGGTGGATATGGGCTTCATCTGGTGATTGGGTTTTGGTTGGACTTTGGTTGGAATATCTCTCAAGGACACTTCAAGGTTTCGCCTCAGCATCAATGAATCTATCATATACCTCACTTCGCTTCTTCTTTGACTTGACTTCGCCTTTGCTTCACTTGCTTCCTTCTTGACTTGATTTCTTACTTACCTTCTATGTTTGGCTTCTTCATTAACTTGCTTTGGTCGAACATCTTGCTTCTTCTTTGCCTTAATGTCTTGACACAGCTCTTACTTCTTACTTCACTTGCTTCTCTCCTAGACTTGTTACTTGCAACAAACAGACTTAATTCCCTAGACTTCTTGCAACTTTCTATCTGCTTGGAGTGCATACACTACTATACATTTTGTACAAGTCTCTATCTTCACAACACCCTCCCCCTACTACTACCTCCGCACTCTAAACATGCCTCCTCCTCGCCCACTTACTCAAGAACTCTCTCCCCTCAATCCTCCAAACATCCTCCTCAACATAACTCCCATTATACCCCCTCCCCTGCGCCTGAAGAACAAGATCCAGCCCCCTCTCACTCTCATCATACCTTGGCCACCTGGGCAGAGCCTCGCCATTTGGATCGCCATTCGCCACAAACCTGATCCACTGCGCACTCACCTGCTCAGCCAGCTTCTTGTATTCTTCCCAAGGGCCATAAAAGTTAGGATTAGCAAAGACAAAAGCCACCTCAGTGAAGTGCGCGACGCCCTTGTAAGCGCGCGGATTGCCGCCTTCGCTGGCGGTGTTGCTATTCTGCCAGGGGAGTGTGTTGAAGCGGTAAATGTACGTAGGTGAGTACTTGGAGTAAGCGCGGGCGTCGGCGAGGCGGGTCGCGTGGTAGAAAACGTCGCCCATGATGGCGGCGATGCGCTTATACTGAAGTCCTTGTTCGGCGAAGAGCTCGACGCCGGTGTTGAGCGGGATACCAATGGTGGGGTCGTTGGGGTACAGTTCCATGATGCGCTTGATGACGGCGTCGGGGAAGTCGAAACCTGTGCTGTTGGCGAGGAAGGCGTATAGGTCTTCGTCGGTGTTGATGACGCCGCCGGCTGGCGCATTGTCGGTGCCTTCGTCCGAGTTGGTGCCGTAGAGATGCGGGATGTGGGCGAAGCGA